GGTGCACCCCTTCGGGCACTTTGTGTCGAAGTGGGTTTGGGTTATAGTTCGGGCACTCAGCCTCGATATAGTTCTGTATCGACACCACTGGCCTGCACGGTGACCATTAATTTTACTGCCCTATGGAAACAATCCAGACAAGTTTAATAAGCTGCAACAGTTTTATAAAACAGATCACTCTTATTGTGATTGCGTTCGGTTGAAATGTGGGTAGCTGTTATAGAACAAAACATGTCTCAGCAGAAAAGCACAGTGCACCCATCAGGTCTTGTTATTTGCCTGGACAAGGGCCCATCCCTGCAGTCCTGCACGCTGGATCTGAGTAGCGTGGCGCAACCCCAGAGGCTGCCTCTGTGCTGATAACGTGTGAGGCTCCCCCAAGTCCCCAAGACACCAGCTGGCATGAGCAGAGGCACCAAGCAGGCAGACCTGGGTGGCAGCTGCATCCTTATCTACCACTAACATTGCTCCGAGCTCAAACACGAACATCCTCCTGTCTCGTGAATTCAGAGACTAAGTTCATGGTTGGCTGCACCATTAAGCTTTGGTATTACTTTGTTTCTATAGAAGTACCTGCAGGTTTTAGTTAGTTCAGTTTGCAGGACCTTGGCTAAGGATCTTCCAGTGTCTTCGTGGTAGCGGGACCCTTGAGGACCACTGCTGCTGACTCAGGTGACAGTCATTGCTGTGCTCTTCCAGTGCAGATACCCTCTCCAGGGGCTCCGGCCCGTGTTTATGGCCATGCAGAGCAGAGCAGGTGACCTCGCCGCCAATGACACGACATAAACATGATGGAAAGTTAAGGTTAATTGCTTCATCATTTTTTTTCCATGAACTGGATGTTGTGACTGCTGAGTTTCTCGAAGACTCAAAAGACAAACCTACCCTATTGGCAATGGAGTGTCATTTCAGTCCAAGTTTTGCTCACATAACTAAATAAAAAGCCACGAAACTGAGTAGGCTTCAATGCCCTGCATTCAAGTAAACCCCACATCAATGCAAATGATATATTAAGTAAATAGTAGCCGGAGACCTGTAACTGGGATCTCTCCCTGGGCTGAGGGCAGGAAGACGACTCCTGTGCTTCAGCTAATCAGATACTTTCTCTGCCTTACAACCATGCTCAACCTAGGAAGGCTTCCCCACAGGCCTACTGGGTGAAAGATAAAATGCCCGTGATCCAAAGCAACACCTTCATGAATTCCTGCCTGCTCAAATAAATTCTTTAAAATATTCACGGGGCTGGTGAGATGGCTCAGTG